TCATTCTGTCCTGACAGTTTTGACGTGGTGGGGGCTGAAGAGTCTCACTGCTGGAATTTTGCAAAACAAGCTGGTGACCTTGAACAAGATTCCTGATGTTCTCCAAACCTCATTTGTTCATCCATAAGATGAGTGAAAAGTAAAGTCCCTACAGGGGTGGTTGCTGGGAGATTTATCATGCCACGTGGTGTGGTTCAAAGGACACTTTTGCAACGTTTTCCTTTTTAAACATCTGGTAATAAATACCACAGGAACCCAGAGGATCACTAGGAACCATTTTGAACGTGTGTGCTCCAGGAAGTTGGAAAACCTAGAGAAATAGAGACATTCATAGACACATTCAACCTGCCAAAATGGAATCAAGGAGACACAGAAAACCTAAACAGGCGACAAAGAACAAAGGAAAGCCCAGGACCAGATGGATTCTCAGCTGAATTCTACCAAAGCCTTAAAGAACTGACACCAGTGCTCCTCCAATTATTCTATGAAATAAATAGAAAGAGGGGGAGCATTCCACAGTCACTCCATGAAGCCAGTGTCACTCTCCCACCCAAGCCAGATAAGGACACACAAGAAAGAAACCACAGACCTACATCCCTGTGAATTTAGACACAGACACCCTTAATGTTAGCCAACCATGTTCAACAGCATGTTAGGAGACTGGGCACCATGAGCAAGTTGGAGCAAGGACGGTTGACCGACACAGATCCGTGAGTGTAGCGCGCCGTACGGTAGAATTAGGACAGAATCACTTAGTTGCCTCAATAGATGCAGAGGAAGACTCTGACAAAATTTAGCACCCCTCATGATACAACCACTAGTAAACTAGGGCTGGAAGGAACTCCTAACCTCATAAAGGGCTACATGTGAAAAGCCACAGCCAGCCTCATGGTGAATGGGGGAAGACTGAAAGCATTTCCTGAGAAATGGGAATTGTGCACCCATTAAGCACCACCTGTCCTCCTCTCTCCCAGCCCCTGGCAGACACAGACACCATCCTACTTTCCTCTGGTGAGCTGCTTGTTTCACTCAGGATGCTGTCCTGAGGAGTTATCCATGTTATAGCGTGTGTCCCAGTGCCTTCCTTTTCAGGACTGAGTACTATTCTATGCTCTGTGTCCGTGGACCACATTTCCTTTATCCATTTACCATCTTGAGCACTGGGCTGCTGCCACCTTGGGCTGTTGTGAATGATGCAGTCATGAATGTGGGTGTGCAGAATGTCTCCTCCAGACCCTGCTTTCAATATTGGGGGCTATCCCAGAGGTGGAATTGCTAGATCACACAGTGCTTCCAGTATTGATTTTGGAGGACCTTTCATCCTGTGTTCCATGATGACTGCTCCCGTTGACCTCCTACCACAATGCAAGAGGCTCTCCGTCCCCACACTCCTGTTGACACTTGCCTTTGATGACAGCCATTCTAGCAGAGGTGGTGTGACTGCTTGTGAGTTTGAATTGCGTTTCCTTACTTCTCAGCCATGTTGAGCATCCGTTCCTGTGACTGTTTGGTCATATTGTGTCCGTTCATGTTCTTTGCTTATTTGTTAATCAGGTATTTTTGTTGTTGAGATGCAGGAGGTCTTTGTGTGCTTTGGATATTAACGCCTTATCAGATACGCAATTTGCAAACATTTTCCCATTCTGTAGATTGTGCTTGCAGCCTGTCACCTCCTTGGGACATGAGAGTTTTACATTTTAGGTAGTCAGTGTGTCTACTTTTGGGTTTGTGCCCTGTACTTTTGGTGGCATGTCCAAGAGCCATGACCATAGGCAGTGTCCTGCAGGCTTCCCTATGTCTTCTCTAAAGAGTTTCATGAGTTTTAGGTTCTAACCTTATGTTTGTTTTTTTTATGTGTTTTAAGTGAGAAAGAAATCTCTAGGCCCAGATGGCTTCATGAGAGATTTTTAGAAATTTTTAAAGAAGAATTAACACGAATTCTAAACAATCTCACCCAGAAAATAGGGAATACTTTCTAATTCACTTTATGAAGCTACAATTACCTGGGCACTAAAATTGGGGGGTGACTTCAAAAATAAAGAACTTATAGCCCAATATTTCTCCTGAAGATAGAATACCTTAAAACTCATAGATAACAAAACTCAGCAATATACATAAAGAAGTTACAAACCCTGACCAAACGGACTTCATCTCAGACTTTCAGGGCTCACTCAATATTCAAAAGTCAGTCCATGTAATCTCCCACATGAAGATGAAAAAAATCACAGTTGTGTTAATTGGTGCACGAAGGTTTATTTGACAACATTCAATGCCATTGATAAAACTTTCAAGTTAAGAATGGAAGGGAACTTCCTCCACTTTGTAAAGAACATCTGGAACCAATATCAGGCTTCATAGTAAGGGGGGAACCAAATACCCCCCAGGGTTAGGGACAAGACAAGGAGGTCCACTGGCTCATGTCCACCTAAGGTCATACTGTGAATCTGACCCTACACAAAGGCAAACATGAGCAAACAAACAAATAAATAAAAGTGAGATTAAAAGCATGCAGACCAGAAAGGAATAAATAAAACTGTCTCCTTTCTCAGAGGGCATGATTGTTAATAAAGAAAAGCCTGAGAAATTTACAAAAAGAAAAGAAAAACTCAAAAAATTAAGCAAGTTTATCAACTTTGCAGAATTTAAGACCAACATACAAAATAAATCACATTTCTAAATATTAATAATGAATACATGTAAGCAAAAGTTAGAACTACACCTGTACAAATGCTTCAAAATAGAAATACTTGGGTGGGAATCTAACAAAATAGTACACGGGTTGTATGCCAAAACTGCAAAACGCCGTGGAAAGAAATCCAAGATCTAAAAACACGAAGAGATACACTCTGCTCATGGATCAAGAGACTCAGCAGAGCAAGGTTTCCTGCAGACATAGATGAGCTTACTGCAAAATTCACATGCATGGGCACAGGCCCTAGAACAGCTATAATAAATCCGGAATATAAGAGTAATATAGGAGAAATCACTCCACCCACTTCAGTATTTATTCCTGTATGTGACTGTGGAGCAGAATGGTGAAACCAAAACACTTAGAAATAGACACGAGACAAGTGTGTAAGACACAGGGTGTGGTGAGGAGTTGAGGATGAACACCCCAGGCACAACCAGTAAAGAAAAGTCCATCGGCCTGACAATGGTGCAGCAAGCCCTGCTCTGTGACAGGTCCTTGAGAGAAGTGCAAGCCACAGAGGAGGAGGAAATATTTGCAAAGCGCTTGCTTGGCAAAGGGTTGTACGTGGAACGTTAAAAGGACCCTGACTCAACAGCAAAAGGTCCGAACAACTCCACTGTGGAGTGGACAGAGCCCAAGGAAGGCCACTTGACTGCAGTGGGGTGGCAAATGCCACCTGGACGGTCAGCGCCACCAGCTGAAACTCACAGTTAAGATCCCAGGGCGATCCCAGGCCCCAGAACCATGGGATTCCAAGTGCTGCAAGGGCATCTGGCCCAGGGGTTCAGTGGAGCAGCAGCTGGGAAGGCACTCCCGCCATCTCTTTTTTTTTTTTCTTTTTTAAAGATATTTTTATTAGTGCATTATATTTACACATAATAGTGGGGTACATTTGATGTATCCTACATGCATGGAATATCATTTGATCCATTACAGTCCCCCGCTCTTCCTCTTTCCCTCTCCTCCTTGCTCTCCATATTTCCCTTTTAGGATAAATTTGGAAAGAACAGACCACAGACCTTGATAACAAGTTGGGCATGAGAGGTAAAGGAGATACGAAGGTAAGAGATGACCCCTAGTTGTGTCCATAGTAGTGCCATCTACTGAGGTAGAACTGATTGGGGAAGATGAGGTTTCCCTGCCCTACTTGCTCTCTTTATTCCTTGACAATCTGCAGCCACCCTCAAAAGCTCTATCTCAAATTCCACCATCAGAGAATCTGTAGTTCATGTTGATGTATAGAATTTCCTGGTCTCTATTAACTCTACACACTTCTCCCCAGGAAATCACTTCTTTTCCTGTGGCTTCCATTACTGTCTTTATGTCGATGACTGCCAATATTCTATTTCTAGCCCTCCACTCTTCTCTAAGCTCCAAGCCATATGGCCAACCATCTATTGAATGAATATCTTCCCTGATATCCCACATGCACCAAATTCTACCTTGAACCAAATCACAATTTTCATATTACTCCCTGTATATCTCTCTTCAGTATTTCTAGTTGGATCAATGTCCTACTGTATGACCAAAGTTCCCTGACCCAGGAGCACATAAGTCATCTTTATCTGCTCTTAGTCCCCATATACAACCCAACACTGACTCCCATAGATGCTACTTTCTGTATAATATTGAGTAGTGGTTAAGAGATTGAGTTCTAAAACCGGCCTGCCTTGGCTTATATTCTAGCTCTGCAATCTAGTAGTCACTGAACTTTCTGTGCCTGTGTCCTCCACCTGAAAAATGGGGATATGATAATAGTACCTATGCCTCCTTCATAAAGTTGTAAGGATTCAATAAATCAATCCAGGTCCGGCCATCTCTTTATGCGACCTTTCGACAACAGTTCAAAGGTGGAGAACCGATTAATGTCGCCAGGGGCTAGAAGTGAGGGGGAGGGGCAGGGTGTGGCCACAGAGGGGTTTGGCGTTTTGATTTGGGTCCATCTGGTTTCTGGCTTGGTGTTGAAGGATAACCCAGCAATGCACAGTGGACTCAATGGGGCAAGGCTACAGGACAGCTGTGGCCCGCGTGACTTCTCCGCAGGAGAGGGCGCAAGCCGGGAAACCCTGGGTGCCCACTGTCACTTGCACGCCGGACCCGGGGCGGGGAGCGCGGGGCGGGGGCGGAGCTGTGCGGGCTGCGCGCGGGCGAGCGGGCGGGCTCTGCGCCCCGGAGGCGCGGCGGGCGGAGCGGGGCGGTCCTGCGCCAGCCTGCGGGCTGCCAGAGGAGAACTTTTTGGAGCGCGCCTGCGGGTCCCTGTCCCTGGTCGCCACCCGGCCGTGGAGGGGGCCCGGGGCGTCGGCGCGGCATGCAGGCGCTCAACATCACCCCCGAGCGCTTCTCCCGGCTGCTGCGCGACCACAACCTGACGCGCGAGCAGTTCATCGCGCTCTACGGGCTGCGGCCGCTCGTCTACACCCCGGAGCTGCCCGCGCGCGCCAAGCTGGCCTTGGTGCTCACCGGGGTGCTCATTTTCGCCCTGGCGCTCTTCGGCAACGCGCTGGTGGTCTACGTGGTGACCCGCAGCAAGGCCATGCGCACGGTCACCAACATCTTCATCTGCTCCCTGGCGCTCAGCGACTTGCTCATCGCCTTCTTCTGCATCCCGGTCACGATGCTGCAGAACGTCTCGGACACCTGGCTCGGGGGTGAGTCCCCCTCCCGGGCGCCGGCTCCCTCGCCGAGGGTTTCTTCCACCCCGCGTTACCGGCCGGGAATCGGGGTTCTTGAGTTGTTTTCTATTCTCTTGCACAGAGTGGACTGTCAGTAGGTCAGGATGCTAAATCTTTGGCCCTCCTCCGTCAGGGACTGCTGAAACAGCTTCAAACACGGATTCACCTGTGTGGAAAGTTTTAGATTGATTGACAGGTCAGACACTTTCTTGTGCTCTCGGACCAAACTGTTGCATCCGGCATCATTTGCCTGCCGCGACTCACTGCATCAAATTGATGGGAGAATGGTGGGTCCGTTCACAGAACGTGGGTTTTGAGGAGAAAATGGCTTACATTTCCGTGTGACATTGTTGAGGAGATGATGTGGGAGCTGGGTTTGAACAGTAGTAATTCAGACTTGTCAGCAGAGAAGGATGGGGTGTTCTAGAGGGGGGGTTCACTCCAAAATGTGGAAGACAGACAGAAGAGGGAGGGTACTTTAAGACGTTTCGGGAATGTGCAGTTTGTATGTGGAATGGTGTTTGGGAGAAGTGGGCTGACAAGCCTACCTGTGGTGCTGTGGGATGACAGCTCCATTGGGGTGACCAAGTCAGGTGGGGTCTTTTACTGGGAGTCAGGAGACCCCGATGGCTACTTAGGCTCTAATGCACCATACTTCAACCTGTCTGGGCCTCAGTTTTGCAAAATGATACTAGGGATCAGAGAGGTTTGCTGGTCAAGTGAGGCCCCCAGCCGTTCTGAGTGATGTCGGGGAGGCCATGACAGGGGGCGGGCGGCCCCTGCGGACGGCACAGGGGCACCTCAGAGAGTTTTCTCATCCCCTGTTTTCCTATTTCATGGGGGCATTTCACGTTTGCTTGTCAGTACTGGAAAAAAGGGCGATATGTTGTGGAAGTGTTCTGTAGGTTGGAGAGAGGTGAGTGTTAGTAAGTGTGCTTGAAGGAGGCGGGCCTGCAGGGGTCCCGGTGTTGGCTTCACCCAGGTGTTTAACTGGAGGCAGTCTGTGGTTATCTGGGATGGGATTTATAGAACAAGTGAGGTTCTACACTCAAGTAGAGGACACCTCGGTTGAAGTACAGGGGAGACTCCTCTCCCCTGAGAAATGGGTGCTAAGTAAGAATTAACCGGTGTGTTTTAAGGTAGAATAGTTGCAAATTCCCTTGATGAAGGAACAAAAAAGAGTTCAAGAGTACGTGATCCAGGAGCTGACAATTAATTCTTAATTTATTATTTGACAGAGCCGTTGAGGACTCCTAGCGGGCAAAGCGTTCCACCTGGGAATGCAGGAACCAGGGGAGCTCCTAGGTCCCTGTGGGCCCCAGAGACTAGCGCTGCACCCTGTGAGCAAATCCAGGGTTGGACAGGCGGAGATCTGTGGTGGAGACGGGGTGGGTCAGGAAGGCCCCCGGGAGGAGATGGTGTTGTGGCTGGGCTTGAATAATTCAGACTTTTTTCAGTAGAGGAGGATGGGGTGTTCTAGGAGTGGGGTTCACTCCACAATGTGAAGGAGAGGAAGAAGGTGGCGTATTTTAAGAGCGCTGTGCTGGACATTTAAGAATGCACATCTTTCACGAGGGGAGTGGTGGGAAATAGACAGATTGATACAACTGGGAGGAAAATGCACACGTTATGTAAAACCTACTGCAGGATTACCTCTCTTTCCTTCATGGGTGAGGCAAGAAAGATGAGGCCACAAAGATCACCGGGTGGTGGCAGTGGCAAAAGGAAGACGCCCGGGGAAAGGGCAGGCCTGTCCCCTGCAGGGGCTCAGCTTGAGCACATCACCCTTGTGAGGTCACAACAGGTCCTTCCCCTCTCTCCAGAGAAGCAGGGAATATAGGTTTTTATGATGGCAGTAAAGTGTCATTGAGTCAAAAAAGACACCTCTGTGAGCCTGCTCGTAACTCATACCTCCTGTTGGGACTTGGGACTTCTGTAGTCCAGCGTCCCTGATGGTGGCTGGGCTGGGAGCCACTGCTGATCCTCTTTCTGTCCACTCGCCTCCCTCACTAGGACCAGCACACCTCCAGTGTCAGCTCCTGCATCTTCACAAGGTCCTGGTGATTGGTGTGCAGGTTAACCCCTGATCGGCAGCCTCCCCATATGATACGCACTGCAGAGGGAGAGGCCCTCAGACCTGCCTGCATGGGGATCTGCTCAAGGGCTTTGGACCTTGTCCCTCCCGGCGTCCTGTCCTGCCAGCTAGCTTGACTCCATGCAGCCGGCTTGTGCTAACTCAGAGCCCCCTGCAGGCTCTGCCTAGCTCCCCTTCAGCAGAGCATGGTGTTGGCTTCAGTCAGGTGTAGTGGGAGTATTTACAGCCTAGAGTCCAGCAGCTACAAATCAGGCCTGCAACACAGACACACAAGTCAAACGGCTGTTTCCCAGCACCCTAGGAGCAAACTCGCACAGTCACATAAACATCCAGTTGGCTTAGGTGACTCTCACTGGAGTCAGGAAGACACCCCTGATGAGCAGCCTCCTCGGGCTGCCAGCAGGATGGGAGTCAGAGTGCAGGCCTTCCATCCACCGGTCTCCGGATCAATTACCAGAGCGGCTCCTCTGCCCCGGCAGAGGACAGTCAGCAGCATGTGCTCACGACTTTCCCTTTATCCCTGAAATGAGGATGGGATTGGGTTGCCATGGCATTTAGAGTCCTCTCTCCTGTACCCTCTGATCTATTTTGTCAGGTGCCACCAGTGAATTTCCCAGTTGCCCTCTGAGAATCACATTTGCGCGTCTTCACCTGCAACTTTCTTATTTCTCTCCTTCTCCTCCTCTTAGTTCTTCACAACTGCAAATGCTCCTCTGAATGCACCGGCTGAGCATGTTTTGCTTCTAACTAAATTCAGAACAATTGATTTTGCCCGGGCTGAGCCTCAGGGCAATGCTCTCCTCTCCAGGTTCCCTGCACTCCTGTTTCCTCTTTCTTCCTTTCTTCATGCTCCTGTGTCTCGTGTTCTGTCTTGGATGGCTCTCATGCCTCTTCTTTTTGGCCAGTGTCCACCGAAGCTCGTGACTGTCTCTTCTTCATCAGTCATCTCGGCGTGGAGGCTGTGGCCAGACCCTGCTGCCTTTTTGGTGGTTCTGAGCTTAGCATCTGACCCACCCTGAGCTGTGGTCTTCCAGCTGATCTGCAGACGAGGCGTGCACACGGGGGCATCTCAGCAGCAGCAGTACTGCCTCTGCAGCTTGTTCTTTTGCCTGCAGTCTAAACTGATCTGTGGCACGTGAGCCATCCCTGCGTCTGGCCTCCCTGGGTATCTGCTCTGTGCTTGGCATGTGGTAGGTTGACACAGCTGTGTCCTTGGGGAACAGCCAGAGTTCCGGTAGATCAGCAGGAGAAGGAGGCATTCGAAGGAAGCCCTGTAAAGGTCGGGGTTCCAGGGTGCACAGTGTGAATGCTGGGAAGTGAAGAGCTTGAATGGGATCGAGGGATGGTCCAGGAGAGGGCAGGATTCGTGGCCGCTGAGCTCGTGCGGGGCGGGCATTGATTCTGAAGAAGGAAGTAGAAATCAGCTCTGGTTCTAGGCATAAGTAAGGGGAGAGGGGCACTGCTTGGGGAGGGTGTGGATAGGTGGCCTTGCAGGAGCCTAGGAAGGGATGATCTGCCCTTGTCACCCTGAGCTCTCTGGGAGCTGCCGAGGCAGGGAGAGAGAGTGCTTTCTAACGGTGGCTGGCAAGTTGACTAGATGCAATTCCAAGAAAGGAGTTCCACCCTGAGTGGTGGGGAACCACGGGAGATGTGCAGGTCCTCTCACCTCCCCACATCCCAAGGCACTTGCCTGGGTCAGGAAATGGGGACTGTCCATTTCTTCTGCAGCTGCCACGAGAATGAATTCCCCTCAACAGTGGCTCTCAATTTTTCATATCTCTGGTTGGGGAGCTTTTTAAAGACGTGGATGTCTGCCCAGCACCCGCCCTCCCTCCGGATTCTGACTTTAATTGGTCTGAGTGTGATAACTGGTGTCAAGTTTCCCAAAGTTCCCGGAGTTAGAAAGGATTGTTATTTGCAGCCAAGGCTGAGAGACAGCGTAGATGCTACCAGCACCAGCACGAGGGCGAGGACTGAGGACCAGGCTACAGGAGTAACAGAAGCAGAGTTTCCAGAGAGCTGGAGCCTGGCAGCCCATACAACTGTGGTGTCTGGAAGTAGGACGAGGAGGGGAGACCCCTGGAAGAGCAGGAGTGGGTTGGTGAAACGAGTCCCCGGAGGACCTCTGAGGCCATTGCTGATTGCAGGCAGGCTGGTAGTCTTCACGGAAACCCGACCTTTGTGGGGTCTTTCAAGATGAATGTGGAGGACTGGGACGCAGCTGGGGGGGGGTGGGGAGTGCTTGGTGGGCATGCATGAGACCCTGGGTTCCTTTTCCGTTCTGTCCCTCCCTTCCCGCCTTCCTCCCTCCCTCCCCTCTTTCTTTTTCTTTTGATGCTGAGAGTTTAACCCAGGGGCACTTTACTGCAGAGCTGAATCCCAGTCCTTTTGTTATTTTGTGTTTTGAGACAGGATCTTTCTAAATTGCTGGAGGTCTTGCTAAGTGGCTGAGTCTGGCCTGGACTATTTGAACCTTCTGCCTCAGCCTCCGGAGGGGCTGGGATTACAGGTGCCCCACCCCTCCTGGCTAGAGGCCCTGGGTTGAATCCCCAGCACCAAGGGGGAAAAAAAGAATTTGGAAAGGAGTAAAATGGTACAGAGGGTGGGATACAAGATATGCTAAGACAAGAAGCATTTCGTTGTCTGGAGAAGAGGATGCCAGCTATAAATCAACACACCTCCCGCGAAGGTTTCAGTGCCTTGTGCTCAGAGCCACGGCGACTGGCATGGGTGTATGAGGGAGTGGGCAACCAACCCCAGGCTTCACCAGAAGGGCGCCTGTCTCTATTTTTAATAAATAGAGCTTTGCATCTGACTTTAGATGAGAAAGAGAAGGATTTTACTGGAAGGAAAGGAGGGGAGGAACATGCTCTGCACAGGG